AGAGGACGGTCTCTGCCCTGGCAGGCTGCTCTGGAGAGAAGCTGAGATGGTCTGTGGAAGGACCTGCCCCATCAAGTGGAATCAGATAACACCCCAGTCCTCGAGCTCGGGAGGAGCCAGTCGCTGCTGCGGCTGAACACAGGAGCAGGCAACACTTCCTGCGTCATGCAGTGGGCTCCTGGGTCAGGGGTCTCCAGCATCCCTGCCTCTGGTTTTCCTGGCAAACATTAAAAAAACAAAAACAAAAAACTTCAAACCATTCTTCCTGCAGAATGTAAATAAATGTATTAGCCTGGCTATCTTCTATGTTTTAAAAATAACTTTCAAAAGTGTAATTAATAAAAAATTAAAAAAAAGAAAAAAAATAACTTTTAAACATTTATTTATATAGTGTGTGTATACATACACCCATACACCCATACACACACACACACATACACACAAACACACACGGGCACAAGCTTTTCAAGGTGGACATGTGGAGGTCAGAAGACAACGTATGGAAGTCAGTTTTCTCTCTCTCTCTTTTTTTTTTTTTTGGTGGGGGAGAGGGGGATGTGACAGGATTTCTTTGTGTAGTCCTGGCTGTCCTGGAACTCACTCTATAGACAAGGCTGGCCTTGAACTCTCAGAGATCTGCCTGCCTCTGCTCCCCAAGTGCTGGGACTAAAGGTGTGTGCCATCAGAAATGGCTCCTTTCATCACATGGTCTCCGGGACCAAAGTCCATCAGCTTTGGCAGAGATCGCCTTCCCAGGCTGAGCCATCTCGCTGCCCTGTCGTGCCATCATGTTCTGGCCCTCCTTTTGTACAGTCATCCTAACCTAATGCTTTCGACCTATAGCACCACTTAGCCCAAGCTGGCACAGGGACTCTAGGTCAGAAAACCATCTCCACAGTCAAGAGCTGGCAAATAAAGGGGTGGGAATGAACTCAATTGTTTCTTAATCGTCTTGCCAATCTTAAATGAACTCTGTAAGGCTTAGCCTGCAAATGCAGTGCTCAGACCTGGGTCTCGAGCACCTAAATGACAAGTCCAGGTTAGCTGTCGCTACCTCCTATCAATTCCCCATCCTCTCAGTTTTACCTGAGGTAAACATTTACCACTCTCTATGTCCGTGTCTGCCCCCGTGACCTACAGGCAGCCACTGTTAGATTTCCAGGGTGTCTTCTCAGGTCATGCCTGTGGCAGCAAATGGGAGGCGAGAGGGTAGGAGGTGCAGGTCCTCTCAGAGGGCAGCTGATGCAGTCTGCCTGGAGCCACCCCCCCACCCCCCACCCCAGGACACTCACTGTGTACTTTGCTGCATGATGTTCCACAGAGACATTCCACCCTGACTGGCTTGCTGAGAGTGGAGGAAAGGACAGGGTGGGAGCAGCCATCTACCTGCACGCTGGGGACGCTCTTTTTTTAGCTGGGTCACATATTGTTGAGATGGTATGGACGCCAACTCAGAAGCAGAGCAAGCACTTTCTGATATGTGGTATGCTCAGCACCAAGAATTTAGGCTCTGGGTTGGAGAGGAGCACCACAGCCTGCGTACAGGGAGGATTATGGTCTGGGGTTAGAGGGGAGCACCACGGCCTCCCTATAGGGAGGACTGTGCCTCATGTACAACAGCAGTCCCTAAGGAAGCTGAGCCTGTACCTCTTCCCAGGCCCTCACAACTAAGTGTTCAAATGCTTTTATTCACTTTATCCAGGTTAAAAATTTGCTCTAGTAGCCAAATTTACAGAAAAAGGGATAGTCACCACCTTAAGTCATTCACAGAAAAAAGTAAGATTCAAAACTTTGTCAGTAAGAGGTGGGGAAAATTTTGATAAGTTTTTTTAACCTTAGCTGGGTATGGTGACACATATCTGTCATCTCCACTCAGGAGATGAGAGAATCACAAGTTCAAGGCTGACCTTAGCTACATAGTGAGTACAGGCCAGTCTGGACTAAATGAGACCCTGTCTTGAAAGCAAAACCAGAAGTCTGCCTTAAAGATGACACCGACATTTGACTGGGCCAACACTCACTATACTTGCTCGGCTTTCCTGTGATAATGGAGTGGAGATGGAAACAGAGGTTGTGGGAGGAAATGGAGACAGATCCACAAAGGGCAGGCGAAGGGAAAGGCGGAGCAAGGGCACAGTGCCTGAGGTTCCACAACCATGTGTTGTCAAAGTTTTTCCCGTGGAAACAAATTCCCTGGTTCAAACACACGCACCTGACACTCATACAAATTCTCTGGTTCAAACACACACACCTGACACTCATAACATAAAACGCCTGTCCTTAATTAGTCCTGCATTGATTTCAAACTCTTGAAATGTTTAACTTTGGACGCCCTTATGATATGCACTCCGTGAACCCTCAAGACGTGAACGCTCTAACGGCCTCAGAGCACAGGTCTGCACTCCAATAGGACGGACGCCTTAGGCTTACAGATGCTTGGATTTCTTTTGTAGCCTGTGTCTGGCGTTTTCAAACAGTAAGTAAAGTCTTCGGCGTTTGTGTTGCACACGGCAGAGCCGTGGGTGAGTTAGTCTTCCGGATCTGGGCCCAGAGCCCAACACCAGACTCTGGGTAATAAACCCTAACCTCTCTGCACAAATCCCCACCCATTGGGGACCCAGGCACTGGAAGCTGAATCTGTGGTCCCACGTCGCCATCCGCACTGCCAGGCTGTAAATCAAAACCAAGTTCCGGGCTTAGGGGAGCGCACTCCAAAGGGGCCGGGGCGGGTCCCGACGTAGCTTAGCAACCCCAGGGGCAGAATTCCTTTCTTCAGCTCCCCTTTCCAAGGACGCGCAGGTGACGGGAATGCATTTATTTGTGAATGGGCCGAGCCACGCGCCCCGAAAACCTGCACTTAAGGACTGGAGCTATTCGGAACAAGAGCGCGGACCCCGCGGGGTGTCGAGAGTGCACCCTGCGGTCCAGGTGTGGGCGCCTAAGGCTGCGGCTTTGTTCCCGTGAAGGCGGGAGCCCGAACAGCACGCCGAGGCCGCGACGATCCTCGGCTGGCGCCCATCGTCTCCGCGGCAGCACTGGGTAGCGCGCCGACCCCGCCGACGAGACGCGCGGCCGGGGCCCCGGGGCCCCGCGCTTCCGCGGGAAGCGCGTTTCCCGGCCAACCCGGCTGAGGCCTCGCCAGGTCCTGCCCGGGGAGGCCGCAAGCGCGGGGCCCCACGGCGTCCCTCCGCCGACGCGAGCGGCCCCACGCGCCGGCCAGCCGCGCCGCCAGCCCCACATTCCAGTTCGGAAATAACATACACGTGCGCTGGTAAACAAGCGCGCGGGCCGCCGGGGCTGCGCGTCCGGGGCGAGCCCGCGCGGCGCGCCCCCTCCTCCCGCACGTGTCGCCCGGCCCCGCCCCCGGGCGGCAGACCCCGC